ATGCAGAATTAAGCTTACTGTGTCTGCTGCATTTTGTGCACTAGAAATGTTTATGAAGAGTTACAGGTGAATTCCAGCAGCTGTGTGAAAACCCCATCCATTTTGACAGAATGAAAAGGCGTGGAAACAGAAAATTGTGATGTGTTTGGTGTTTAATGCTCTGTGCTCACCAGTTCATGCTGGGATTCTGGTCTGAAGATCAGACACTTAGGACATTGTGCAATGATGTATGTGCAGTGTGTAGCTATATCTAGATATATACAATATATACACTACATAATATACATATCTGTATCATATAGATATTTTGTATATGTAAAAATATACATAGAGGGAGAAAGAAAATCAATCCATATAAATTGCAGCCCATGAAATTAGGATCAAAATAACCTCTGAGTAATAGCCCTCTCCCATAAGTGTCATGCACAATTTTTTAAAAGACAGTATCAAGCCCTATAATAAATGACAGTGCTGTGTTTCATGGTCTCTGGAAGCCCATAAATCAACACACTTGCATGTTTAATATGAGCCTTGTTACAGCTGCTTGCTTGCCCTGATCTTAAGCCTTTATTCTGTATGGAGCTGCTTTCCTGCTACGGGATTTTGTGGGGTCCATCAGTGTTTGAGTTCCATGTTCTGTAGAGGCTGTTCCAGTGCTCCCTCAGTGCTCTTGCCTGAGAATTTCTTTGTAAACCGTAGCACATTACCTACATGAAACTGTTTGAATTGGGGTGGTTCTGCAGGCTAGTCATTTCATCAGTAAGAAATAGGACTAGAGGATATCCAATTCACAAGTGCCCAAACTCCTCTGAACCTGCCAGTTGCATGATTTGCCGGCAGTTCCTGCGTTAGCACGCACCACCACTTCCAGCATTACTGCCTTAGCGCTTATCATCATCACCATCCCCCAAAGGCAGGCAGCGATGCCATCTCTGGCTTCCCTATCTTATTGACCCCTTAGGAAGGGGGAAGCGGGAGAGGTGTAGTTGCATTGCTGACCCTGGAGAGCTTGGAAATGAACTGCGTCTTATTTCGGGTATTTTTGGATGCCTACTGTGTCCCTGGAAGGTAATTCGCTTTCAACAAGAGGAAAGCCAGGCGCCTTTGCTTTCAGCAAATAGTTTTTAACCTGTTGTAAACACCAAGTGGTCAGTCTTGGCACTGGGGTAGCCTCAGCTTTCAGAAATGGGAAAGTCTGTCTCTGTGATGCTAGTGGCTCCCTCGGTCATATGTCAGCGCACTGGGCGGTTGGGTGGGCTCTTAGCACAGATCCATGAGGGTCTTCTCCCTCACCAGAGCTCTGAGAGCTTACTCTGCCTGTGTTGTAGGCCATCTTCTCTACCGTTGTCTTCTGTTTATTGTTTTGGTTATTGTTAGTGCCTGCAAACACATTTCTGCAACTGCTATCAGGAGGGTTCCTACATTTTGACATCCCTTAAGGCTTTTGCAAGTGATTTTGTTATCGTTTCCTCAATTTTGCTATCCATTTCTCTTTGTGGTTCTTTTGGCACATCTGTCTACATCAGTTTGAAAAGTCAACTTATGTATTTCAAAACCTGAGCATCTTATTTCTGATAATTTTCTGGGTAAATTATGCAATGTTGCACTAAATGTCATATTAACCATGAATACTTGGGGTGCTGTCATAATTATTGCTATGAGGGTTAGCACAACAGAGAAAAGGCATTACTGCAAGACTTTAAGTAAACTACCCAGCTTTAAGATAAACACAGTAGAATACTGATTTTGATGAATAAACTAAAGCATCCTGCTTTAAGTTTTCATTTAGAAGGGGGGGGGGGGGGAAGAAATGTATTGTTCACCAGTCCAATTTCAATCTAAGTGAAAACCAAACCTGTAGATGAAGTATTAAGGCAACTAAAGACTCCTGCTCCATTTTAAATTACATTCTTCACTCATAGAGGTGGCAAAATACATGCGTTGGGTACCAGTGGGTCCTCCCCTAGCACGTGGTGCAGTAGGAAGTACTTTTCTTTCAGTTACTTTGCATTTCACAGGAGGCAAAAGAGATTTTGTACAACATTTGAAGGAAACCTGAACTTTTAAAATCAGTAAATCTGTGACTCTGTGTGCCTTTAAAAATCAAATTATAGTTCTGAAAATCTGGACTGCTGAGCTCCCCTGCATTTGCCCCCACCTTTTGAAGGGAAATACTGCTGTATTTTGCTTCCCACATTTCTTAGGTTAAAAAAAAAGCAAAAAAGCGCTCTGTGTTTCTATTAGCGTTCGGCTAAAGTTGCAGTTTCACTCTGCACGGAATTGAAACTCGTGCTCTTGGCTGGGTGACAGCGAGTTCCTCATATAAAAAAATAAAATCAGACTAGTCCAAAACAAAAGGCAAGGCATTGGTATAGCTATTAAAATTTCCAAAGTTTCTAGGTATAGACTGCAAGGGAGATCTCCAAAGATATGGAGCACCTGTCAAAAATTACAGGGTTGGGTGAGTGGACACTGTGCTTTAGAAAACCTACTTTACAACCAAAGCGAGTGGATGTTAAGTATGTCATGCTGAAGCAGTGTTCCAGTGTCATATACCAGAGATGTGGTTATGTGCTTGAGGAAATCAACTTTCACAATCCAGCTTGTGCCAAGTCATTCTCTTATTTCATAATTAATTAAGCATGGTTGCTTTACAGTAAGGTGAATAACTATAAATGCATGGAAGCTAACTTTCTCTTCTGGTGACATACAATATGTGAAATATTCAGAGTGGAATAGCCAGCGTAGAGTGTTTGCAATTAATGTTTTCCTCCTACCAGAAATGCACTGAATGGCCTTGCAGAATGCAGCAGGATTTTAGTGAGATG